CCGAGCAGCGAGCCTTAATTCAGAGCCGCTGACTACCGAGCTGGCGCAGTCGCTCAGGAGCCCGGACGTAGGATATGCTTCATAACAAGGTAAACAGCTCGATCAGGGGTGACGCTAGGGGTCATGGGTGTCGTATGTCAGTGACGCGGGCGGGAGCAGGCTGGCACAGAGTTGGCAGGCGTCGCTCTGGCTGGGACGTTTCGGGGCTGGCGAACGGTGGCAGCGTCAGGGCTAGAAGTGTCTCACTTTGTGAGGATCACAGTTCAACTGTGATATACTTAATTAATTTTCCAGGTCCTCTATTCAGGGAGCAAGTTAACCCTTTCAATGTATTTTAGTTAGAAATTTGAAAAAAAAAAACAAGAACCCCAAATAAGAAATGTGTGCGCCCAAATGAGAAATAAATGGCCCAAATCGGTTTCCCATGGACGTAGTCAGTAGTTTTTGACAGCCCGAGTAATACTAAATGTAGAGAAATCTCTGCAACAACAAGCAGGCTCGACAAAATTAATTACAACGCAGTAACTCAGTGGCTTTAGAACGACAGCGCTCGGATTCAGGCCGGCCGCTAAGACTAAATGTCAAACCACGCTCCACCAACTCTCTCAGCGTCGACACTCGATCCCTGCCGTGTAAAATTATTGGTGCGAAATGTCAGAGACACAGTAGGGGTTGAGATCGGTTTGTTTGTAATGACGCTATCTTGAGCAACACAAACATTCCACAGTCCGGCGGTCGAAACTCTGGCCAACGCTGTCTGGCCGACCCCTCTCGCGGATCATCAAACGGTCGGCTGATGTGCCAGACGGGCTCACATATTGAGCATTGTGGTGTTGAAAAATGAGCAGACGATGGCTGGTTTATGTGCCTACAAACGTGAGGCATGGACGAGCAATGGTTCATCAAGACTCAGCCGTTTATACGCAGGGTGTGGGTGATAACGACTGTGTAAACCACTGATACTGTTCACGGTCAATTGTGTTTGGATGACTTGATGTCAGCCTTGATGGATGTGAAAATGCTAACTATCTGCCATTGGATACGCCACGTAAATTTAAGTAAGTGACACATATAAAATCTGAGATGCTTGTCACTTGAGCGTAAGCTATGAAATGGAAGGCACTGTTACGCCAACCCAAAACTGAGAACCACAGTAACACATGGGTATCAGACTCGCAATTCCTAAAGCAAAAATGGACATATATGTACCTACACATCAGTTAATACATTATTTAACTCGCTGGAGCTACTCAGGGGCCAGCCCGATGCCGCGCGGGTCCCTCTGCACCCGCTGCTGCCGGCGCTCTGTTCCAGTACCGGCTGCTGGCACGGACCCAGACAGGTCTTGGACGCCGGCCGGCCGGCGCCGCGTTTTGAGAAGTGTGAGCTCGCGATCCCGGAGATCGTATGTGACTGGCCGATTGCTGGAACCGAGTTGTGGAAAGCGCAGGTGGCACGGTCGTCTCGGATCCAGCCAAAATAGACCGGCTCGACGTTTTCACACAGGGAAGCAGTGAAGCGATAAACGGTCGGCTCACCAGCCTGTCGACAGACAAACGGCCTTTGTTCCACAGTCACACCCTTTTACTCGTGACCAAGTTGGCGCGGTGCTTCCGACGCCAGGGGACCAATTCGTCCCTCTCAAACGTGCTCCCCCTTTCCTGGACCGATGGCATCGCACTGAGGCCAATCAGGAACTGAGGTATATCCGTTCCACGTAATGGCAGTAGGGCTGTAGAATGTAGCGCCATCGGCGCGTGATTTTACTAGTTAGCGACAGGCCGGGTGTCTGCCGTGAGTTGTAACTACGATTTACGACGAACTGGTCTGTGCTTCACAAGTGGACAGAGCACATATAGTTGGCGAAACTGATTGCAGAGCTTTGGTCTGTGAGCCGTTTAAGCTGTAGAGTGTAGAGTTATTTAAACAGCCTGAATTTCTCATGATCATCCTGTTATCTGACTAACAAGTGGATCAGTACTACCAGTTCGTGAAAATGATGAGACAAGTCGACAGAACCGGAAACCCGTACTTAAATAAACTCTTTCAAACGGTTAGCAATTAAACCACTAGAGCCCACAATCACGTTACTCCTGAGCGGGTGAACCGGTCCAGATTTGGGACTAAAATTAAAGCAAGCAGCCACAAACAGCTTAGTTCGAACCAATTAATACCTCAATACTTTCGAGCAAATGTCAGAAGCCTCCATGACCGAATTGGACTACAAACGATGTGCTAAGCTCGTGAGGCTTGGCTGTAGCACCGTAGAGTTTGGCTCCGTCAGTGTCGACTTTGTTCATTGTTGTGTTTTCACCGACATGTCAAACCTGGAAAGCACGTCGAGCAGAAGTCCCTGCCGTTGACCTAAGACACTGTCTGAGGTCAGCGACGTTGGGGACAAAGCTTGATCAATAAGGCTCTGGGGCTCAAGGTTAGATACTGGGGCCTATGAGGGTCACCGGCCAGCCAGGGAAGTGGAGGAGCTGTCATTGGATTGGGTAGGGCACGACTCAATAGAGGTCACTGGACGGAGCGATTCTTGGTGGAATCATTGACGGTCACTGAGCGGCTCAATCCAGTGGGTCACTGGGCGGACCAGTACGGGGTCACTGGAGTACTGGGCGGGACAGTCTTCAGTGTAAGGCCAATTGCCGAGGCCGTCCTGACTCCTCTGTCCAGTGGTGGAGGGGTTACTGTAAGGCCAGTGAGGGGTCACCGGGCGGGGCAGTTCAGTGTCGGGTTCACTGGGCGGGGCAGTAGACAGTCCAGCGAGGGGCCGCTGGGCGAGGCAATGGGCAGTCCAGTGAGGGGTCGCTGGGCGGGGCAATGGGCAGTCCAGTGAGGGTTCACTGGGCGGGGCAGTGGGCAGTCCAGTGAGGGTTCACTGGGCGGGGCAGTTCACTAGGTGGGTCAGTTGGCAGCCAGTGAGGGTCACTGTGAGGCCAGTGTGGAATCACTGGGCGGGGCGATGCTCAGTGTGGGGTCACTGGGCGGGGCAGCGTGGGGTCACTGGGCGGGGCAGTGGGCAGTAGAGTGAGGGACACTGAGGGGGGGGGGGACGCAGTGGGCAGTCCAGCGGATGTTCACTGGGCGGGGAAATCGGCAGTCCAGCGAGGTGTCACTGGGCGGGGCAGAGTGGGGTCACTGGGCGGGGCAGTGTGGAGTCACTGGGCGGGGCGATACTCAGTGTGGGGTCACTGGGCGGGGCGATACTCAGTGAAGGGTCACTGGGCGGGGCGATACTCAGTGAAGTGTCACTGGGCGGGGCGATGCTCAGCGAGGGGTCACTGGGCGGGGCATTGTGGGGTCACTGGGCGGGGCAGTGTGGAGTCACTGGGCGGGGCGATACTCAGTGTGGGGTCACTGGGCGGGGCGATACTCAGTGAAGGGTCACTGGGCGGGGCGATATGCAGCGAGGGGTCACTGGGCGGGGCAGTGTGGAGTCACTGGGCGGGGCAGTGTGGAGTCACTGGGCGGGGCGATATGCAGCGAGGGGTCACTGGGCGGGACCGGCGCCAGACAGGCGGATGGTCTGGTCGGCCCGGATATTTCCCGGAGCCGGGTGGCGCTGCCCCGCTCTGTTATCGGACATGACTGACCCGCTCCGCCATAACCCGGATTAGGGGGAGCGCTGGGGACGACCAGGGCCCGCCGGGCTGAGGGAATGGTCGCGACGCTAAGATGGGCTCCGTCGACAGACAAAATCCAAACAGAAACCGTCTGCGGTGGCCGTCGTCCGGAGCCAGTCGAGAATGCATTCAATAGTTGTTTCTTACCGAACTGATAGCGGTTTAGCCTAAAACAAGTTTTTGAGCACATATTTTGATGTTTGAATGCTCAATAAATTTGTGGGCTTTCATCAGACTTCAACGTTTTGGTTGACCATGGCATGGAAAATAAACGATTGAAGCTGGTCAGGTATTGATAACTCATCAGCGTACTTGCGTACGCAAGGCATACCGGACCTTATTCACTTGCAAACGTCATGGAACTGACCTTCCATGCAAACATTGAGTCACTCGTCACAGTTGCCAACAACTCGTCGCGAGATAGACTCGTCACGAAAAGTCCCACACAAAGAACATCAACAGTTCAGCTAATCCATCGTCAGTACCTTTTCCTCGAAGTTCGAACAAGGTAAAATCAAAGCCAAAAGTCATACTTAAAGGGACTGTCCCACCTTTGCATTAGTTCTGAGTTGAGATAGCCAAGTTGGCGGCCAGGTTCAGAAACCACTATATATCCTGGTCGCAATATCCTCAGTTTTGTGGTGTTAAAGAAATTCGTTCCCTTCATTTGAAAAGTGGGCCTTAGCTAAGGCCCTATCTCTTAACTATTAACGGCCATTTGATGACGTCATTACTCATTTGCCTTTTGAACGCCTGTCACACATTCAAGTGAAGTATCACTTGATTTACGAATAAGCCAATCAGAGACACTCTTGTTATTGTATGAGCCGCGTCATATTTGAGAGCAAATATATTTGCTGACAAATTTCCCCTCACATTGACATGAAGTAAATCCTTCATTACGTCACAGATTCGATATAAATGACGTCACGATGAAATATGAAAGTCGCAATATCTCAAAAAGTATACGATGAAAACGCGTAAAAACTTGCAGAATTCGTCAGAATATCATGAGTAACATTTCCGAATCCTAAACGGTATTTTTTTTGAAGGTGGGATAGTCCCTTTAATACGGTGAGCTTTCGGCTTCAAGCCTTTGTCAAACCAACAAAATGACCCAATGATTCTTCACGTATCTAGGCTCGCTATGTTCGTCACAAAAGCACTTAAAGGGACTATCCCACCTTCTAAAATGTTGTTAAAACCAGTTAAATTGTGCCCGACTTTATAGATTGGATGACCAGGAATACGGTTCTGGCATTTATTTTTCATTAAACATCTTAGGCTTCCCATATTCCAAACACAAACTTTCAAATATGTGACGTCACAGTATGTGATCATCAGTTCCCTTACACCGCTGAGAGTGTCCATTTTGGTGCACATTCCCTCATATCGACCAACCTCCTTGCACGACATTGGACATTTGGAGCCTTCACACTCCCCAGTAGCATCATGAAAATGACAGCCGGCCAAGTAAAATCGACTAAAACGAGGTGATTTGGCGTGCACCTGCACAGCGGTGCTGAGTGTTGCCAGGCATCTGGCATCGTTGGTACGTCGGACCTCGTTGACCCCGTTCCGTTCCAGGTGTGATGGTGTGGCGATTAGAGCAAAACAGAACGGTAAGTCGTCACAAACATGAGCGGAGCCAACCGAGACAGTAAACAGAGGAGCGATGGTGGGGGCCGTATCAGCCAGATGGTGATCGTTTTCTGAATCAAAACCACAATAATGAGTGAATAATGATCGCCTAATACCGACGCAGCAAATGGGTCAAGAGATTCATCAGTGACCATCACCACAAAACTTGATGCACACACGAAAACTTTGCATAAATTAAGACTTCAATAGCCTATGCCTTTACATTTATATTGATAAATTTAGGGAAACAGTGAAATGTGCAATGTGCATTTTATTATGCAACAGGGACGAAACACAGCAAAGCAATTAAATTAGTACACGCTATTCAACATCAAACAGCTATCAAACTTGCAAAACAGTCTGAAATACCACCTGCACAACACACCGAGCACATTGCCCACCTGTTTCTGTCATTTCCAGTGTAGTTGTTCGCAGCTAAAATACTCCGTAACATTTCAGACAAATCAGCAGTTGCGAGTAAAAGAAGAAGGCCAACTAATCACATAAACACAACAAGAGCCTAGCACAAACAAGCCATTTCCACAACCACCTCTGCCCCTCACTATTCCCATTACAACGTCCACCTACTGCGTGCCACTCTGCGTCAAATTCGAGGGCGTCAGCGTGTCCTCCCTCTCATACACAGTCGGCTGGGAGGCGATCCGGACGCTCTTCGCTCCATCGGCCGACACTCTGCGGGTCACACTGGGACTGGCTCGCGGCTCGAACCCGGTCGGCCGGCGCCGAGAGAGGTCGGAGGCGCCTGAGGAGCGCCCGGTGTCCTCTCCACGAGGGGAGAGCGAGTCGGCAGTGCCGGTGAGCGGCGCCAGCTCCTCTGAGGTCGCCTTGGCGCTGCGGTGCCGGCGGTCCATCCACCACTGGACGCAGTAGAGGCTGAGAGCGATACACACCACGCCGACAATCACAGAGCCGATGGCGAGGGTGAAGAGCCAGTTGGAGGCGGCGCGGTTCTGCGCCAGCTCGTCGGCCGGACGCACCACCTTGATGTTGCACATGTGGTAGACGGGAGGCGGCGCCTGCGCGGAGGCGCGGTCCAGGTGAGAGGACATCCAGCCGCGGTCGCAGACGCACCAGAGGTCGTCGTCGGGCCGGCCGTGATGACACTCCACCTTCTGCGGCCGGTTCTTATCGAAGCGGAGCACCTCTCCCTTGGCGGAGTCGTGAAAGAACTGAAGGTCCTCCTCTGTGAGGGCGGACATCAGCTGCCGGCACTGGTTACTCTCCGGGACGTAGGCCATCGTCGGCAGAGCTCCCGGGTTCTGCGGCTTGGCCGAGTCGCAGCGCGGCACCGGCGTGCAGCGCAGCTTGGACGGGTTGAAGTAGTTGCGGTGGCCGTTGTACTTGTGGAAGCAGTTGACGGCGGCGCAGCCGTTCAGCGGGTCCTGGTCGACCGACACACAGCTGCTGACATCGTACGGGGAGTAGTAGTCCTCCATGACGGCCGAGACGGGGCCGTAGCGGCTCACCGTCGTGTTGAACTGGACAGTGTGCTGGAACGAGTGATCGTTGTAGCGGATGGTGATCTCGCACTCGCCCACGCGGTTGTAGATGTAGAGGTTCGGGTACAGCAGCGTGATGTTGGTGGTGTGACCCGGAGTCAGGATGCCCATGTAGCCACCGATCAGCACCATCGACTCGCACTCGGCGTCCTGCACTGAAAAATGCTGACAGCAGAGTTTCATTTCCGCTCGCAGCTCCAGCGGTCCACCGCCGTTGTTCAGCACCGTCAGATAAAACGTCAGGACCATGTCGTCCTTGTGAAGAGGCATTATGCCTTGGTCTTTGATCAGTATGGGTCCGGCCTTGCTCTCCGTCTGTTTGGGAGTTGGCGGCGCCGGCTGGTTGGTGGCCGTATCGACCGGCTCGGGAAGGTCCGGCAGACCCGACAGCTTCTCCTCCATCATCGACGTCACCGTGCTCGACATCAGCATCATCAGAGCCAGCGTCTCCAGCAGACCCAGGCGTGGGCAGCGTGGTATCGTCATCGGAGTGAGGCTTTAGTGGTAGTGGCTTTGCTACAACCGGGTTAACTTTGCCAGGCTGTTCAACAAAAGGTTGTCGGGAATGTCGCATGAAAACGCTGCTTTTCTCACAGATTCTTTACTCACTACCAAACGCCAACGTTGTTTTTTTTTAGAGATGTTCGCCGAAAATTGGCCAAAAAGTGAGTAATATGAACATTCAAGGCATGGAGATTGTATTGGATTGATGGATTTATTATGGCTGGTTACGAATTATTCGGAAAAGGCTCGTGCTTTTAGTCGCAGGCACTTGACATGCTCGATGCCCATTTCCAGATTAACGCGCATTCTGATGAGTGCCACCATAGTGCCACTATGAACATGGCTGAATAAATCCACATCTTCAGTTGTGATAAGAATGATTGCTAAGGAGCCCATCTAAAAGCGCACACAATCTGACACCTCCCACGTAGTTTTAGAGTCTTGCCGTTGCCTCTCATCCCGACACCTGTCTCCTCTCGAGTCACCACCATCCTCCATCCCCCGTTCGCATCCCTGTGCGGGCCGTCCGCCGCCCCAGCACTGGTTGATGACGTCACAGCGCCCTGGCGTTTGACATGCCGCTGCTATAAATGCGCCCCGGGCTACTGGCCGCCGGCGGTCGGCGGTCGCTCAGTTGGCCGGTGGACGCCGCGGGTTGGACGCGTGGTCGGGGTGTGGTCGAAGGGGCCCTGACCCCATCGGGGACGTTGAAGTTTGATGGTGAGACTCGGTGGCGTGGAAATCCGGAAGTGCGATTTAACCTGGACACGGCACGTAGCGTGGGAGTGCGCCGAGAGCTCAGATATAAACAAAGGTGACGGTTTGCTGATAAGCTTGGTGATAAGCGTTGCGACCGCGAAGGCGTAATTGGGCTAGTGCGGCTGGCAATGGTGGTGGTGCCGGGTGACTGTTAGATCTTACACCGTGCAAAGACCATACCGATTAAGAAGTGATCGCGTCCAGAGTGACCCCGAGGAAGAACAATGACCGGCACGATACAGCCGACACCGCCGCCGCGGCGGAAAAACTCCTCGGAGGTGACGGCCACGCCGCCGCTGCCCCGCAGGAAGGACTCGGGTGACCACGCGGCGGCCCCCAGCCGGCCGCGGCCTCCCAAGCTGAACGTGGTGGCCGCGGCGGCGGCGGGCGCGGCCGGGGCCGGGGTCGGGGTGTCCGCCGTACCGCACAACAGGCAGGACCCGGAGGCGGGCCGGCCAGCCCAAGAGCAGCCGCAGACCGAGGCCTGGGGACTGACGATGCCGGCCGTGCTGTCTAGCATGGACAAAACCAAGGTGGCCAGCTACCTCCAGAGTCGCATGAAGGACGTCAAAGACGGCGCCTTCCAGACGGCCAAGAGCAGCCTCAGCTTCGGCGAGCGCTTTACCCTGGCCATGCTGGACAAGATGAAGCGCTGGTCGCGGCGCGGCTTCACACACATCTTCCTCTTCGTCGTGCTCATGACTTACAACGCCATCGGCGCGTGCATCATGATGATTCTGGAAAAGCCGGAGGCCAACCAGCACAGAGACTTAGAGGAGCTGAAGATGGACACGGTGCAGCGGCTGTGGAACGTCACATCACAGCTCAGCACATTGAACAGCGCCGCGTTCACGAAGGTGGCGCAAGACGAGCTGAATGTGCTGCTCAACGTCTCCTGGCAGCAGTTTGACCTGCGCCGCTGGCACCCGGACCCGGACGACAATCCCTGGGGCTTCTGGGGCTCCCTCTTCTTCTGCTTCACCATCCACTCCACCATCGGTAAGTGGCCCTGGCGAGGTAGATTTCTTCCGCTGGAGTTGAGTGGTCGCTTTCGGGAGTTGAAAGTGAGCACATCAATCTGCAATCAATAATCGCCAATGTCGACGCTGGAGGGTCGCTGTTCCGTATAAGGTTCGAGGCGTCTGCACTTGCAAGCGTTGTTGATCATGCAGCATGTTTTCCTTTACGTTGAAAAGCCGGTTAACAATGTTGTAACATTCTTGTAGGTGTAAAAAGACTAAGTGTTTAATGTCACGCCTTCTCCGGATAGCATGCTAGCTTTTGATCATTCATGCCAGTGAGCAGCATAGTTATTTACTATATTTAGGTATATCATTATTTGAGAACTCGAGGAATACGCTGGAAATTCAACCAGCATTTTCACTCAACTGGCTTACTACCATACCACTTGCAATATTTAATGGTTCACTTTTGCAACTGACATGCAATAAGATTCTCATGAATCATACCAATATTAATGCAGGGCAACAACATACCATCAGCGGTCGTACAATTTTGATGAGCTTACGGGGAAAAGAAAATACCGATAGGCAGACGAGTCAGAGGTTGCACATGCAGCAGGACATATTTGATTAGGTATGATACGATAGCATGGACCTCGATGTTAAAAGACTGCTAATATTTACTTCTAGCGATCTTAAGCACCCAAACAACATCGGTGGACGAATCCACACGCTCGTCCCATCTCAACCTCTTGCTGGAAGCCGATACCGAGGCCATGGTCACAGACTTATCATGCAGGATATTTATCAGCGCTGCCCCGAACTGCAGATTGCAGAAGCTGACATCAGTGAAATGATGCAAAAGGCATACAGACATCCGCGATCATGCTTGCTTACTTATATTGCTGGATTTGGAGATTCAAAATTCACATATGGCATATTATGTGGGTAAGGGGTATACTTGCTTGCAGCAGATGCACATTGCACACTGGCAAGTGTGCAATGTACACACTTGCCAATGTGCACACTAGAGTTCAATTCCCCAAGCGCAAAAATAAACCATTGCAATCGCAGACTCAACATCTAATTACTTAAAACCACCAAAGCTTTCCGAAAATCGGCCAATGCGGACAGTGGCTTTCGGGTTCCGCGTATCGCTTGACACGTTTCCCTGAAATTGATTGCCCGGCTAACTGACTCATCATATCATCAGTTCTGGCGGCGCGTCGGGCGCGGGCAGGTCCGCGACAGCCGACCCCCTACCGCCTTGATCTCTGCCATCGCCGAGCGGTCCGAGCGCGATGGAACCCGATCAGCTGTCTGGGCCGTCTAGCCGATGTTTGGCTGGCCTTCTAACAATGTCGGCACATTGCGTGTCCCGGGCCCGCTGCCAGGTGAGGGGAGGGGTGCGGGGAGGGGCTGGCCCAGATCAGGCCGCAGCTGGAAACGTCGCTGAGCCTGCACGCGGCACGTGCCACGTGCCACGTGGTCGACAGAAGAGGGATGGAGATAAGCATAGCGTTATAGGGTGAGACCGCAATACTAGAATCCCACATCAAGACGAAAAGTGGGTCAGTGGTTTCGTTTTATGATATCCTACAATTCCTCTTTCACGTTTTGCTTTGCCACCACATCACACAGCCGTCCTGCAGTACTGCATTGCGCCCGCCGCTCGTTGCTTGACCCAAGGAACACACTGCCCCCGTTCCATCAGAACGGTAAAGCACCGCCGGAACCGGACGGTGCACGGACGCGTTATTGCGGGGTGACATGACACGGCGGTGACAGGCGATAAATAAGGAAGCCTGAAAGGACTGCCAGCGGTGGAAAATTCATAACTCAGCATGGTTAGTCCGCGTATTGATTTGATGGTAATCTGAATTATATAAGGAGCTTCGCAGCTTGTGACTGAACCGACGCCATAATATGCTGGGTGAGCCATTGCCACGATTGACATTGACATTGTGGCAGGTTCACACGGAAAGATCATGTGCCAAGCTAGTAGTTGATATAATCAAATGACTGAAAGAGCGTGGTGCGTTGATGAGAACTACGCAACGACACACGTTGTCATCACTAATATCCTTTGTGCAAGGTCATGCATAACATTCATGCATTTCAGTTACGATCGTGCCATTACAGTAACAACTCTTCCCGAAATACGTGAGTTTATTAATGTCATTCGTCCTTATTGCTAATCTCGAAATGTATATGGCGATTGGGTGACCCAGAGTTACTAGACAATGAACATATTCCAAACAGTTATCGAAAGTTATTTTTAGTTCATTTCACCAAGATAACAAGCGCTAGCAGCTCACCACATGCAACTACTTACGAACAGCATGACTCTAGACATGGAACAAAGAATGTCATGACTGTTGACGGGGTGTGCGTGGTTGCATGACCGCAAAGCAGCTGCATGTGGAACACTTACATATACACACAGCCTATCGTTGGGGAGTCGTTAGTGAGTACTGTAACTGTCTGGAGTCTGGACGTGGCTCGAACGGAACGTATCAACCGAAGAAGCGTTACTGCTGCACATGAGGTAAAGCTTTTGGCTATATCGTAGGCATTGCCATACAAACTGTTAAGAAATAACTACAATCCACCATTGTTGTTGTGCATTAAAGCTAGCATTTGATAAAACGGTTTCAAATTATTCATAGAAATTCGCTAAGCCGGGTAGATACACATGTAAGTCTAGATTAACTCAGTCAACTTCGGATTCTATCGTAACCAGTATAACGCCTTTTGGGGCGACTAACGGAGCGAGCGAGAGGGTGGGCCTTGCACGTGCGAAATTTCGAGGGGGTACCTCCAACTGACTTGTGCAGGGCACCTAACTAACCGGTCTCTAGCGATGTGCCAAATTTGAGCACAATCGGCCCAGCCGTTCTCGAGATCTGGAAGCGGCACCCTGCACGTGCGCACGTGCAAAATGGGTCCCAACTGGCTTGTGCACGGCACCTTACTAACTGGTCCCTAACCGTGTACCAAATTTGAGCGCCATCGGTCCAGCCGTTCTCGAGATCTGGAAACGACCCCTGCACGTGCACACGTGCAGCAGCACCCCAACTCTGGCACATGGATATGCAGTGCCTAGTGGGTGCCTACCTACATGCCAACTTTCAGCGCAATCGGCCAAGTAGTTACCGAGATATTGCAACAATTACAAAACTGACACCTCTTCGTTTTGCACGTGGCACGTGCATAAGGGGTCACCCACATGCATCGGGAATAGTCCAATACTTGGTAGAAGGAATGAAGCTACCCTACAAAAATTACCGCATGTAAATCGGTCAAGTGGTTGCTGAGATATAAGCCTTGCAAAAGCGTCCGCAAGGCCGGCCGGCCGGCCGCTCATACTCAAAAATCTCCCCGCCGTCGCCCCCTCCCCACGGACTGCCGCTCCCCCAACCCACCTCCGACCCAGGTGGTCTTCACACTCCAGAGGGGCCACTAAACTTTATTAGGGGACCCTAATACCGATTAATCTAAGGAAAGACTCCGCTCGCTTCGCTCGCTCCGTAATAATGGACCAGTATAGCGCCTTTTGGGGCGACTAACGGAGCGAGCGAGGGGGTGAGTCTTGCACGTGCGAAATTTCGAGGGGGTACCTCCAACTGACTTGTGCACGGCACTCTACTGACCGGTTTCTAGCGATGTGCCAAATTTGAGCACAATCGGCCCAGCCGTTCTCGAGATCTGGGAGCGGCATCCTGCACGTGCGCACGTGCAAAATGGGTCCCAACTGACTTGTGCACGGCACCCTACTAACTGGTCCCTAACCGTGTACCAAATTTGAGCGCCATCGGTCCAGCCGTTCTCGAGATCTGGAAACGACCCCTGCACGTGCGCACCTGCAGCAGCACCCCAACTCTGGCACATGGATATGCAGTGCCTAGTGGGTGCCTACCTACATGCCAGCTTTCAGCGCAATCGGCCAAGTAGTTACCGAGATATTGCAACAATTACAAAACTGACACCTCTTCGTTTTTGCACGTGGCACGTGCATAAGGGGTCACCCACATGCATCGGGAATAGTCCAATACTTGGTAGAAGGAATGAAGCTACCCTACAAAAATTACCGCTTGTAAATCGGTCAAGTGGTTGCTGAGATATAAGCCTCGCAAAAGCGTCCGCACGGCCGGCCGGCCGCTCATACTCAGAAATTTCCGTTAATCTAAGGAAAGACTCCGCTCGCTTCGCTCGCTCCGTAATAAGCATGCACCAGTATAACGCCTTTTGGGGCGACTAACGGAGCGAGCGAGAGGGTGGGCCTTGCACGCGCGAAATTGCGAGGGGGTACCTGCAACTGGCTTGTGCACGGCACCCTACTAACCGGTCTCTAGCGATGTGTCAAATTTGAGCGCAATCGGCCCAGCCGTTCTCGAGATCTGGAAGCGACACCCTGCACGTGCGCACGTGCAAATTGGGTCCCGACTGACTTTCGCACGGCACCCTACTAACCGGTCCCTAACTGTGTACCAAATTTGAGCGCAGTCGGTCGAGCCGTTCTCGAGATCTGGAAACGACCCCTGCACGTGCGCACATGCAGCAGCACCCCAACTCTGGCACATGGATATGCATTGCTTAGTGGGTGCCTACCTACATGCCAATTTTCAGCGCAATCAGCCCAGTAGTTACCGAGATATTGCAACAATTACAAAACTGACACCTCTTCGTTTTGCACGTGGCACGCGCATAAGGGGTCACCCACAGGCATCGGGAATAGTCCTATACTTGGTAGAAGGAATGAAGCTACCCTACAAAAATTACCGCGTGTAAATCGGTCAAGTGGTTGCTGAGATATAAGCCTCGCAAAAGCGTCCGCACGGCCGGCCGGCCGGCCGGCCGGTCATACTCAGAAATTTCCGTTAATCTAAGGAAAGACTACGCTCGCTTCGCTCGCTCCGTAATAACGGCTTTCGGGGGCTGGCCGGCCTCATCGCCCGCAGCGTGTCTTGCGGCGCACAGAAGCCAGCAGCGGTGGGCTGCTGGACGTTGAGCGCACTTCTCAGCGTGCGCTCCACG